GGTGATTTGGTTAAAAGTGAAATTTATTGTGGGTGTGTTAAAATGATTCTTATTATGCAACTTTGGGAGGTTTTGACAATGCTAGTTTTCACACCCAGCTTCTTGGTAAGCAGCTTGAAGACTTGTCTTGGAGTCAGGAGTAGAAAGGAGAGGTGAATACAGTGCAATTTTTTCTATTCTTCTTGCAAAAGTGCCACCTACTTTCCTCTGCCCGCCCCCACAAATACAAATATCACTGCACTCCAATCCATCCAAAATATGGTTCCTAAATGTATCTCCTTTCCTATAGCACCTACATTTAAATTACTTTACTGCCTTTTCCATATGTTAAATTTAAATTGCTTGTCCTCATTCCCTTCTTTCATTATATTTGCTAACAAAAAAGTAAAAAAAAAGGTGTAATGTTGGAGAAGGATTGATGACAACTTTGAAATGGAGCATAGCGTGATTCTCAAAATGTGCACATATCCCAGAGTGTGGTACTATACAGTCATATAGGAGTAACTCTCATTAGCCCTTTTCTTGTCTCCCTCCCACTTGCATGTGTAAAAAGAGAATGCTTTGCATGCCAAATGTTTATAAAACAACCTTATTATGGGATTGTCTCTCACACTTTATGCTCTACTTTTGGCAATTTTCCAGCCCCAAAAGTGGCCTTTTGTATGCCTATGACCACTGAACATGCACAGTAGGTTACATACTGCCTGGGTAGCTATGCGTGTATGCACAGCTTGCTTAAATCACAAAACTCTACCCTGCAAAAACCTATGACTGGTGGGAAAGGCTGTTTTTGGAATGGTGACTGGATAATGCCAACCTGTAACCTGGTAGTCAGAGTGCTGTTCAGGGAAATCAGAGAAATGTAAGTTTAAACCCCTTCTGGGTGAGCAGGGCCTAGAACAGCAGTTCTCAACCAGGGTGCCATGACACCTTGGGATACAATGAGATCCTTTCAAGGATGCCATGCAATGTTAGCACTGTAAGGTATGTAAAGATAATTGAGAAGACCAATCAAGAGATTTCAAATAGGAATCAACAGTGTTAAATACTTTCTGACTTGTGGTTTTTCTGAGTTTTTTGCTAGAGAAAAATTGTTCTCTCCTTATAGTAAAAAAACAAGTCAAAACTAAGAACTGGCATTTTATGAGGGGTGCCTGGAGTCTAAAAGGATTGAGAATTACTGGCCTAGAGCCTGGGTCTGGTCTTTTTTCTTTTTTGTGGGGTGGAGGTTATGTTCAGGTTATACTCATGCAGAGCTGTCATGCATACACAGTAGCCGCATGCATGCTTACATATTGTCACTGCATAGGTAATAGAATAACCAATGATGCATAAGTGCCCCAAATACTGTGAAGGTGGTTGGAAAATTGAAATGTGGACATCTAAAAGAAAACAGAATTCAGCCTCCAGTGCAGCAAAACACTTAAGCAATTGTGAAGTTTTAAGCATTTGTACAGTCCTGTTGGTTTCAGTGAAAATCTTAAGGTATAAAGTTAATAGCATTCTTAAGTATTTTGTTGAATGAGGGCCTCAGTCCTTGCGTATGTTCCCATGTCAATGTTAGATACATCTCTGCTAGGTCTAACATAGCTAGCTTGGGTATTGGTAGTGTTGAACTCATTGGGTATGTCTACACGTGTGCTGGACTGCACAGTTGTTACTCGCTTAGGGAAGTACTAAATGACTGCATAGTAACTGCTATTACTGCACACTCCCAGGACTGCACAGATCTTTTCTGACACTACTGTGAAATAGCAACGAGCTCCTGCTCAGTAGCTCATTGCTACTGTACAATAGCGTCGGTGTCATGGTTTATACCTGTCGATGCTCCATCGCCCTAGCGATGAGCCACACCACTGTAGCTCATAGTGTCTCATGTAGACACACCCAGTATGAGCTAACCACCTACACTTTTTTTCTCAGCTTCTCAGGTAGGGCAGCACATGTTGAATTCCATGAATACAATCTGTTCAAAACAGAAAAAAGAAACTATTCACACACTTACAATGGCATGTTCCAAGTATTCTACCTTCTTACCTTTGTAGAATGTACCATAAAATTCACTTCTGCTTCCAAACTGTGATCTAAAATTGACCCTTCCATTACAACATTTTTTAAAAACCACATGCGCTCTCTTGTTTGTAAAAGAAACCAGAAAACAATTGAGTTGTGTATAGTTAATGCTGGGTTGTCGTTCAGAATCTTCAGGCAACCTGAAACTGTACCCATCTATCTTTGTGGCATAATGTTTTTGTTTTTGGGGGGAATTTAAGTTCTCTAGAAATCAGTTAACTGATATTTAAATGGGCATTCAATGATAAGATAAATGCTGCTCTTTTTTCTTTCATTATAAAGAAAAACTGTGAAAAAACTGTTTTTATTTACAGGCATACCTGTGATGCCTACTGAGTCAGCAGCTGGAACAAAAGCACAGAGAACAAAGCCTTTATCTTCAACAGGTATTCCAGCAATTCTTGAAACATCCGCAGTCACATTAAAAGCAACATCCCATAGTGAAAGTCCTACAGCTTTCATAACCTCACCCATTACAACTATATCAGCTCCAACAAAACCGGCTTTTACTATGGTAACTGCAATTCCTGTCCCTAGAGAGTCTACGGTACTAATGCCCACTTCCTTAGGGGTAACACCATTTTCACTTGAAATGCAAGCTACACTGCTAGGAACTGTGTCCTCTCCTACAACATTAGCAACTTTACCTTCTGGACCAGCCTTTTTCACTACTGAAGTACCCACAAGGATATGGAGAACTAGAAGTCCTTCTGCAAGCCATTCTCAGATGTCAGCATTATCACCCATGGTATCTTCATCCACTTCCTTAACTGAAAAAGCATCTTTTCCAATTCCCACATTTTTTACAAGCCCACAATTAACATTAACCACACCTACTTCACCAGTATCTACTATGTCTGTAAGAACTGATGCTAGCATTGGTCAACTTATAGTTCCAACCTCCATTTCTGCACAGACTTCAACTTCTCAAGCTCCCATGGCTACTTCTAGATTTACTAGTTTTAAAGCTAGTCTTTCTCAGATATTCACAACTCCGTACTTAGTAGTAACTCAAGCCGCCTCCCAAACTTCTTCAACTTCATTAAGAACTAGTTCTTTAACTAAAGTGTCTCCAGTGCCTACATCTTTATCTTCAGTGAGCATTTCAATAACTGCTCCTAAACATATTGCTCCATTAAGTACAAGCAGTATTTCTGATGATCTATCTGTAATGAGTTCAACCTCATCTTCAGTTGCTTCTCAAATGCCTACAGCCACGAGAACTTTGAGTCCTCTTGTAACACACATGTCTACGTTAGTGTCTCCTTCAATTACACCCCCCAAACCCAAAGCAACGGGAGAAGTCACGGTTGTCTCAGAGAGTCTTTATAAAGGACCTACTACTATTTCAGTCACTCCACAAATCTCTGAAGTATCTATAACAAGTACAGGTTCGACAGAAAGTAAATATCCACTACATAAAGACTCGTTTCCAGTGTCAACTATTTCTAAAAGACCAACAGAGTCCATTAGTTCTACAGTCTTCCCATTAGCTACATCACTATTACCTATCAATGTCACTTCAGTTACTCATCACATGGCAAAAACCACATCAAGAATAATGGAGCATTCAAGTCTATATACAGAATTAAAAATGGCGCCTCTGGTACAAAGTACAAATACTTCTCTAACTCCCAGAGAACCTTCAGGAGCTGCTCTTTCTTTTACTAGTCCATCCATGTTACTTACAACGTTGTTATCCACGTCAAGACCACCTAGTTCAGAAATCTCTGCTATCACATCCTTTACTACCAGTTCTTCAGTGTCTCCCACAGTAAATAGAACATCTGCTTTAATATCCCATGTAACTGTTACCCAAACACCAGTTTTATCCTTGCAAACACAAGAAATCCCAAGAAGTCCAGGTACAGAACTCTCAACCTCCCCTTTAGTTAAACCTTTGTTAAGAAATGTTTCCTCAAGCCCTTCAGCAGCACCTAAAACTGTCATTGCAGAACCACATTTATTAACTCCTACAACTCCTGAAGTCACCTTGGAAAGCCATTCTAGTAGATTCGCTATTACGTCTTCAGCTCCTTTTGAGACTTTCCATATATCTGCTATATCTTTAGGAACAAAAAGCTCAACAATGAGTCCTTCAGTGGAACGCAAAACAATATCTTTTGTACCAGCTGGAATCGTCACTCAGTCCATGATCCCATCAACAGAGCTGACCACAAGTACAACTGTAAATAGTACGGTTAAATACGCAACCTCCACTGAGTGGGTTGCAGATGACATAGAAAGTAGCCAGATGCCCCATGTGCAAAAAAATGTAACTAAAACAATATCCAGAACTACTGAGAAACCTTCACTCCTGTACTTGACTTCTTCAGTTAAGACTATTACTTTTTCAAGAAAAAGCAGCACAATTTCAGGAGATTCTATTTCTCCTTCTGAACTCCCAGAAGTCTCACAGTCAGAATGGTCCACAATTCTACCCCAAAGAACAATTATACCTTACTCAAATTTAACAGGACCTGAACAAACAGGCCCCAGTGAGTCACAAAACTTCACCATACCAGGTTCATCTCACTCCAGTTATGCAATGGCCATGTCTTCTACTGCAGAGCCTGGGAAAACACAGACTTCTGTGACAGACACAAAAATGATGACAGTTACAGCTGACTATCCTTCATTTGGCACAATGGTGCATACACTGATGCCGTCATCATCGTCATCTTCTGAATGCATGGTATGATCAATTTTATCTCCCTACTGTATGTTTCATATATATTCCTTTTTAATTCACTTTTCTTTACCGGGCAATGTGGGAGGTTTTAAATTTACTAAAATATCTTTAGTTTTTCTCTCTCTAAATTTTATATTTGTTTTGGGTTTTTAAACATCAAGTTTCTCTTTGGTTAGGACATCCATCCACATTCTCAAATATGGCTCTACTCCTTGTCTGAAACCCTATAGAACAGGGGCCAGCAATCTTTTCAGGCCATGGGCTGGAACAACCCAGTGTGGTGGCTTTGACAGCATGTCAGCAATGAAAGGGGCAGGTCCTATGAGGAAAGGTTATGGGACCTGAACCTGTTCAGCCTCCAGAAGAGAAGGCTGAGGGGGGATCTTATGGCCTGCTATAAACTAGTCAGGGGGGATCAACAGGCACTGGGGGAGTCCCTGTTCCCCCGAGCGCCGCCAGGAGTGACCAGGAATAACGGTCACAAGCTGGCGGAGGGAAGGTTCAAGTTGGACATCAGGAGGCGCTACTTCACGGTCAGGGCGGCCAGGGTCTGGAACCAGCTTCCAAGTGAGGTGGTGCAGGCTCCCACCCTGGGGGTTTTTAAGAGGAGGTTAGATAACCATCTTGCTGGGGTCGTTTACCCCAGTACTCTTTCCTGCCATGGCAGGGGGTCGGACTGGATGATCTGCCTAGGTCCCTTCCGACCCTAGAAACTATGAAACTATGAAACTATGAAAGGGGGCTGGCTGTTGTCCATGCCAAGGGCAGGAGCTGGGAGTTGCATCACTGTTGTGTTTCCCAGCCTCCCCTTTCCAGCTGGGGTGGGAGTGCAGCTTTTATCCAGCGGGAAGCTGTGCTGGGTCTGGGCAGTTGGAAACTGCACTCAGGCTGCTGCTGCAACATCTCCTTAGTCTTTCGCTCCCTATCTGCAGTGCAAGCACAGCTTCCAGCTAGTGAGTGGGGAGCTTAGCTGGGGGTGGACAGCTGGAAGCTATGTCCGCCCTGCTGCTGCTTCCCTGCTGTGCTTTTCAACCTCCTCAGCTGCATCATGGGTGCAGTTGGAAGCTGCCCAGCCCTAGCTCAGCTCCACTAATTGGAAGTTGTGCCCCTACTGCAACCAGAGATCAGAGGGCAGGGAGAAGCAGTGGTGCTGTGGCCTCAACTCCTTGCTGCCTGGCATGAGTACAGGCAGACCCCTGCTCTAGAAAGCTTTGACCTGGGAAACTGTGTGTATAGGTCCCATGTGGGACTGAATGTTCAGATCAGGGTGGGCATCAGAGATCTTGGAGATAAGTCTGCACAAACTATTCTACCCACTATCTTTCCTCTCTACTTCTTTGAAGTCTTTGTGCTGGAACTTTAATTAATGTTGAGCATTATGTCCAGGCTACATCTTCCAGTATAGTCTTGGACATTCATGCTGGATGCAATGAATAGACATCACGTGGTCTCAACAGACACTACTTTCTAGAGGGTTTGTTGGGTGGGGGGGAAACCCTCGATCAGCCCCTTCCCTCCCCCCACACCAGACTTACCAGCCAGATGCTGGTCTCCAAGCTGCTGGGCTGTGCTCCTGGCCGCATGCATGCTGCAGCTGTGCACATACACGGGACATTTATTGGCCGCATCAAGCAAAAAAAGCCGATTTCCAATAATTTCAATTTTCCCTATATCGGTGTTGATCCGATATGGGACCAAAGTACCGGTGCACCTCTACCTAGGAGGCATAAATGGAAACAGCCTGAGAACTGCAGAGTCTGGAACAGTTGAGCTTGCTTGGTGTGCTTGGGGCTGTGTGGACTGGAGAGAGAATAGTTGAACTAATTTTGGGATGCTTAGGGCTTTGTGGGCTAGACTGAGGACACAGGGGCTGCTTAAAGCTTTGGAGGGGGCAGGATCATCTTTTTTATGTGGCCTTTGCCCCAAGAAATAGCTTTATTGAAGAAAAGCTGGCTCTTTTTCTGTTTGAGACTTTTGGGTACATTTCTCCTTTGGAAGAGGTCAAGTTTCTCTCTCCATGAGCTGGAAAGTATCTCCTGGAGGCAAGGGCCAAAGATAACCATAAAGGGTCAGGGACAGTCAGGTTCTCAAAGTTGGAAGGCACTAGGGCTCACCCCCTACTCTAGAAGCCATGTCTAGGATGGCTTCAGGGGTATTCCAAAGACCAGACAAGGCTAGGGGTCCTGAACAAATGCACTCTTGTGGGGAATCTGTGACAGGCTGATTTTATTATGGCTTCTTCTGTCCTACTCGGTGTTCTGGGGGTATTGGAAAAGGGCATTGGGAGGTTTTTTTGTTTTGTTTTCAGCATGGGAGCATACAAAATATTGTGCTAGTGGTCCCTTGATTCCTAGATAAGGTTCTGGTTAATGCATTCAATTAATTTTGAAAGGCCCAAAGGTTAATTGACTGGGTTGGCTGTCTCCATGTGTACTTCCTGATATTCCAATCCAGGAGCTGCAGGGCTGTCATGCTGCATCTAAGTTTGTGCTAAAAGCATTTTTGTTGCTATCACCAGAACTGATTTGTCAGATTACAGAATCGATTTTGAAATCATTGGATATGCTCACCATGGACTGTAGATTTTTTAGAACAATTTAGACAAACATTTATTGAGGATGGCCTAGGTATATTGGACCCTGCTCCACAGCAGAGCAGAGGTATGACCTCTATATGACAACTTGAAGTCCCCTCTAACCCTTCCATAATTATTCTGCACAGTGCTTACTTCAGTTTCTTTCTTTTTACATAACAGCCAAGATATATCGAACCCATAGACAAATGTAGCCAGTATGTGTGTGTTAATATGGGATGGATGTTATATAACCTTTCGAGGAACTGCCCTAAGAATGTGGAAAAGCCTGATTGTGGTTTTCGAGGAATGCCAGTTCAAGTTAACAGTGATAGTTGTTGCCCAGAATGGGAATGTCCCTGTAAGTCATTTTATATGTTTTTATTGTGTTTATTAATGTGTAAAAGATTAAATTCTATTATGTATATGTCAAAAATAACAAATTATGATTTAGAGATGGAGGACTGTCTTACAGTTAAGACACCAGCTTGAAGTTTATAACATGTACAGTCTACCCCCAGGGTCCCCATGTAAAGTTGGGGCAAGTCACTTCATATTTCTGTGCCTCAGTTTTCCATCTGTAAAACTGGGGCTGCCTTTTCTCACAGAAATATTAGAAGCATAAATGTATTATTCGTAATATGCTTTGATGCCACAGTATAAGCATAAAAGAAAAACAAAATAAGTAAATTAGGAGAAAATAAATATACTGTGAAAAAGTACAAAAGCATCACTTTGGTTTTAATTTTGTGATTTTTTTAAAATTTACATCTGGTTGCTAATAGTCTGTCAGAATGATTTCCTGTTATACTGGTAATTTACATAAAACTGAAATTTTTCATAGGAAAAATTGTTACTTCCCACTGAGAAAATCAAAATGAAACATTTTGTTACAAGTTATTTGGACCCAATTCATGATATTTCACTTAGTTCAACTAACACAAAATACTTTGTTTTGTTTTTGAAACAGCTCAGCAAAATACTAGATTGTTTTTCCTGCTCTCATATTGCCTTGTGAGAGTTGTAGTTTGAACTCCCATGCTACCCTTTGAGCTGATACTTTCTGACCGACTATCTCCCATAATGCAATATGGGATTCCCATTGAACAAGCTATGTACCACACATGCTGGACCCATGCAGCATCATGGGAGCTGCATCAGCTATTTGCATCAGTTATTTAGCCCGGTTGGAGAGCCTAACCCATGAGGAAGACATCAGTTTTCAAAAGTATAGTTCTTATGAGGCAATAGAAAATATTGAAACAATATTTTTGCATTTCCAAGCTAATTTTTTTCAAAATGTTAAGACCATGGAGAATTTTGAAATTTCAACTTTTTGTTCTGATTTGCAGTGAGAACAAATGAGGAAATACTGGAATTTCAAGCAGGAAAGAGATTCTTGATGACTTTGTATTAATGACTTAGTTTTAATTTAAAGAGATTTGCATCAGGCCCTATTTTTATCAAAGAAGATGCACATGGTATTTTTTTTCTTTAGGGAGTAGCAAAGCTGAATATTAAAAATTAGCAATTATACACAGGAAAATATGACATTCTTCAACACCTCCCATTGTATCTATTGATTTTTTTTTTCGTCCCATCATAGAAGAATGTGTCTCCTTTTCAACCCATCAAGCATGGCTAGTTGTTCACTAGAGCTATGGCTTTCTCCCTGAATCAGTGCAACCTTTAAATGTTCATTGAAGTTTCTATTAAACACTAAGGACTTGCTTTTTGTGACTCAGTGAATTGTGTGCAGATATAATATCTAACAGTGGTGGGCTTTTGTTCTTAAAAAGGAAAGAAAATAATATTAAAAATGGAATATTTTAAGAAGTTGTAGCATACTATTTTATGGTAACCTCATTAAATATCAGTTCTTTTTTAGGTCAATGTTCTGTACTATCTGAATTGAGCATTATTACGTTTGATGGAAATAACATAGCCCTCTATAATGCGGCTTCCTACATTTTAGTCAAGCTCCCAGGAGAAATTATTGTTGCTCATGTTGAAAAATGTCCCACTAATCAGGTGAGAGCTTCTCATGATACTACTTCCAGAGTAACTTTAATGATGATAAGTTATTTTGGGTGTATATGTTTGCAGGTTTGTGAAGACATATAAGTTTTGTACATTTTGTTCACTTCTGCTAGTCCAGTTAATTTTGGATTGTAAAAAGCAGACAGCCCCTGCTACCATCAGCCCCACCCCTGTCCCCTTCTTTGTTAGCCTATCATCTCTTGTTGCCATGTTCCAGGAAAATGCACACTTAAACCCTCCCCATTTGTGGATGCAGGATCCTCAGTGTTTTAGTATTCCTTGTACTCTGTCTTCTCAGGGTATGTCCGTTTTTCAAATCAGTGCAATATCAGTTGATGTAGACTTACTTGAGCTACATTTTAAACTGCTGCTATAGGTAGTGATAACATTATTATTATTATCCAAGAAGCTAGGTCAGAGGTTCTCAAACTGGTCCGCGGACCACCACTGGTCCGCGAGCTCCATTCAGGTGGTCCACAGAAAGGTTGCGGAACAATCAAGAATATCTGTACTTGTAAGACAACTGATATTAAAATGTGAGTTGTGTACTTTGATTTGTAGAACAAAAAAAAAAAGTTTATTAAATGGTCCACCGAGACCCTCAGCAATTTTCAAGTGATCTGCAAAAAAAAAAAAAATGTTTGAGAACCACTGAGCTAGATAGTTTAATCTTGTGTGTGGATTGAGATCTTTACAAAACACTTTAGGAAAGCTGCATTGGTGTAAGCCTCTCTCTTGCATGTCTTGGATGCTCCTTATATAGGTCATTTTATTGTCTATCTTGCTTTGTTCCTCTTAAACAGGAGTGTCAAGCTTATAGTCCAGTATCTGGGCTGTGGAACCATGTAATCCTGCTTGTGGATTGCTGGACTGACCCCATCCACTGCATGCGGCATGTGAGCTGGACCTGGCATTGCACGCACCATAGGGGGTTGTTCCAGGACACACGGTGCATGTGGCACCCTCCTGGATGGACCCGGTGCATGAGCTTCATGAGGAACCCTAGACCAGCCCCATGGGCTGGTTCTACAGTGCCAGGTCCAGCCTGTGTGCTACAGGCAGCATGTCCTTTGCCAGCCCTAGGTGCCAGTGTATAGTGAGCCCCAGGGCTGAGCTGGACCTTGTGGCATGGGGTCTGCAGAGGAGGCCAGTCCTGGTCCACCCTGTAGGGCTAAATTAGTTTGACCCCTCTATTCTAAACCCTGTTGGTCTAACTCCATAGCAATAAATCATTAAAGCATTTGGAAATGCTTTCTATTTACAGAAAAGTGGCAGTGACACATAGTGAAAATGCTCTTCTGCAACGTAAGATTATTTCCTGGGGAGGTCAGAAGTAAATTTACTTTTGAAAAAGTTACTATCATGTTTGTATTGCATGTCCTCTACCTCTGTCAATTTTACTCTGGAGTAGCCTTTTGCTCAGTGCAACACGGCACCCCACCTTCATATGGCCAGGCATGAAATAGTTCCTACTGTGGATAGCTGCTTGAATATATGCTGTTTTTTCATAATAAAACAGGATGAATGTTATCAATTATCCCTGCATTTCTAATCTACTTTTATGTATTTTTCAGAGTGCAAATTCAATAAGAAAACTAGTAAGTATTTTGCTAAGTAGCAAATACACTGATCTTTATTTACTACTTGTTACATGCTAAAATAAGTAATATCCAATAATGTTCTCAGGAAAAGCAAGCTAACACATTTTGGCATTTTTCTTATAAGGTTCCACCTGGAGGCACTTCAGGGCTTTGTTTTAAGAAATTAAATGTAACAACACTTACATATAAAGTACTTATCGACCGTTTAGCAAGAAAGGTGAGTGCATAACTGTTAACATAGAGCACATAAACATATAAGTAATAATTGCAGAGTGCTTTGTTCTAGAATGCAGCAAATCAGTCTCATAGTTTATGAAGTGTAAGATCAGGATTACCTTTGTGGTACAGTCTCCATCTGACCCATGTTATGCTACAACATCTGTACCACCTACCTTTCTAGTATCCCTGTTTTCATGAACAATATAGAAAAATTGTATACAAATAATGTAAATTTGCTATCTTTTTCCTCTTCTTTGACTTTTATGCTTTCATAGCACTGGGACCAACTGTCCTTCCTAATTATTACCGGAAGCTGGTGGCTGTGATTCCACAGCTGACATTGTTTCTTGAAGCTGGTTCTCCAGTATGGTATTATGGATGTTGGAATGAATATTTTTCTGATGAGATGTAAAGCTGAGACCCGAGGCAGAATCTTTTTTTGTAATGCAGTCTAAATCAGGCAAAATTGGTTCTGTTTGGTTCTGTTTTGTTCTTTCTATTGCTTTACAAATCCAATATCTGCCTAACCTCTCAGTTTTGAGAGTTTTTATATAAAAAAAAATAGTATTGTCCGAAATTATGCATTCTATTTTCCTACTTAAACCTCAGAACTGAAAGCAAACCAGATTCAGAAATATTCTCAGACCTGTTCATTCCTGCCCCCTTGTCCTGTGTTTTAATTCATCATATGAAAGTCTCCCTGCTGGTTTGTAATAGGAGGGAAGAGAAAAATTAAGATCCCACTTCCTTAATTAGGAAAGTTTCTTACTTCACAGTTTTCTTGCATTTCATACTTCCATGGCAATGGTAGGAGATATAGACTGACCAGAAACTCCATGATTTGTACACATTGACCATCTCTGGTAATTGAAACAGGAACAAAGAATAATGAAAAGCAAGTGTTGTTTGCTGTTCCATTAAGTATGATTTTTGGAATTCTGTGGCTCATTCTTAAAATGTGTTTTGTCCATTTTAGGTAGTGGTGGACTCTGTAATTCAGCCTTTACCTTTCTCCAAACATGGGTTCTGCATTCAGGACACTGGTGCAATGTACGTCATTAATACCCCGGCTGGCATTAGCATTAAGTGGGCTCACATTACAGGCATTATAGATATACAGTATGGATTACATTCTAACACTTCTACCAAGACAGAAGGACTTTGTGGTGAGATTATGTTGCCTATCAATCTTTATTTTTGTATCATATTTTGGTTTCACTGAGGGTTTATATTTAATCTTTTCTCATTTAAAAGGTCTACCATATCCCATTTCTTTAATACCCCTGCCATCCAAGACTTACTAACCGTGACTTGTCACTGAAGAGCTTGGCAATATAAAATTCCTTAGAGTTTAATGACAGTTCTACTTGAGCTGCACTCAAGGGTTCTGTTAATGTCAATTCTGTTTTAAAACATTGTTTGCTACTAACTCTTGGAAGAATAAAACTGTCTTCAAGATAAACAGTTATTACCATATACATTTAAATCTGTTTGAAATGTACCATTCTAAATCTTTGGCTGCAAGGAAAAACATTAATGGAGTCCACTCAATGAATAAGCTGAAATCTGTACTTGGAAGTAACTGCAAAGGAAGGGGTTGAGATGGAGACAACGCATCCAATGGACACTGCACAGGAATGTTGATTCCTGAAAGGCTTTGTCCCAGATGATGAAAAGAGTTAGTACTGCATGTTTACTAGTGCTGTGGGTTTGGAGTGCACCCAGGAAAGGGTTTGAGTCTTAGGCCCTTATTAGACATTAATTTTAGGTGGCTGGATTGTCCACACATTAACACCTGAAACCAGTTTTAAGTACACATCAGGCAGCTTAAAGTTACACCACTCCAGGGCAGGTTTCTCTCTGATCCATATTATCCAGCTCATGTTCCATTAATGTGTGGCCACAGATGAGCCACCCGAATTGCAGTCCTCCAGCATCCCACTCCAAGGTGCAGTGTACCACCCTCCTCTTCTGTGTGGACAAACTTTTGACTCCCTGAACTCTACTGCCCCGGTGGCAGTCCTGGCAGCAAGACAACTCCATCTCCTGCCCCCAGGGGTGTGGCTTTCCCACTCCCAGTGGTGCCACCCTGTGTAAACCTCTCAGTGGCTGCCTGACTTCAATTCACCACCCTCTTCCCACCCGCATTACCTTTCCACCTCCCATTTCATTACTCACTCCCATCCCATTAAGTCTTGGACTACCAGTTTCATGTTCTCACTCCCCCTCAACCCATTTCTCACACATCCCCAACTAGAGCAGGGATAGAAGCCTTTGCTGGCTCTCCATCCCTGTAGGTGGAAGTCTACTGCTTGCCAAGTCACAGCTGGGTGGGTAGGGGACAGTCAAAGAAGGTTTTTACCCTCAAGTCAGGGTGGGCAAAATATGGCATGTGGACTGGATCTGGCCTGCCAGGGGATTCTATCCAGATGACAGCAGGTCCCTTAGCCCTGCCCAGCCCAGGTGAGGGGGGAAACCTGGGCCATGATACGTGTGTCTGGTCCTGCTGCCCCCACGTGCACAGTGGGGTAGGGACCTCATGATGGCCAGACTCAACTTCCCAGCAGCCCCTGTGGTGGTGGCTCACTCTGTCCAGCTACCACTGCCAGTGTCTGCCACTGCTAGCCCAGTCCCGCTGCCTGGATACTCAAGCCAATTTGCCCCACACCCACCTAGGAGCAGTACGTCATACATCTATGGGGAGGGGTGTTCTGGCTTTGTGTCTGTGCGCGCCGGGCACGACCCGGGCCCTTTTTCGTGCTCTGCGTGGGCTGTGGCCAGCAGCCCGGGCACGCGGGGTCGGAGAGGGTGCGCGTCAAACTAGAATTAGGCACGGACTCGTAGCGGTAGATTTAAAGATTGTTTACTTACACTGAAGATGGTCGTAGTGCAGGCAGGAAAACTTGCTTGAGTTGCGGTTACAGACAAAAACAACACGAACGGTCACGTGGAGTTTGCTAGGCTCCACGGAAACAGAGCTCCGGATGCTCTGGACAAGCGCGCCACCAAAATAGGAACTTCGTAGATACGTCTTATTAAATTATCGCTCGAAGACGGGAAGAGGTGGGCAATGGATCAGGTCGCCAAACTCCTCTGAATCTCACACAGGGTCTCTATTACCCTGCCGAGTACCCAGAGTCCCCACAAGATGGATGTGGAATCCTCTTCGGCTTGAGCGGAAACCGCTCAAGCCTCTTATATGGCTAACAGGCCAATCGTTAGCCGCCACGTGGGAATAATTTAGAACTAGCCAATAGCGGGACACAAATTTGCATGCGGGTGGCGGGAACTCCTTTGCATCGTGCATTTCTCTTGCAACTTGAGCAATGTACTCTGCAAAGGAAGCTGCAAATAGGCAGGAAACTCTTCCTTGCACCGGGGTTCTCCTCTGCAGCAGAAAACTCTACCGTGCAACGAAGCTGTAATTTGGCGGGGATAATTCTAGTGCCGAAGCACACACAAAATCATACCTTTGGGTTATGACAGTGTCCTCCACCTTTCTTCCATGTCCGTGAAAGGAAACTTTCCATTAGATGCTACATGGGGAATTAGATCCACAAGTCGAGCAAGAAAGGGCCAGAGGACTAGCTATACTACATACTACAATCGCTCTACTTCTCCAGTGTGAATTCCAAGTATTGATTAATTTCAGCATTGAATATAGGTGGTTTCCCCTCCATGATGAGACTCTTACCCTTATAGATGGGCAGTAGCAGTGGGGACAGCCATACCGCTATTTGTTTTAGGGAAGTGTTGAAGGATCAGAGCTAGAAAAAGAGGTTAGGAAACTCTCACCATGAAGTATGGGGAAACTACTAGTGAAATCCTGGGAACAATGAAATTCCTTCCTTTTTCATGTCATTATGACAAGGTGTTTAGTAGAATTTGCAGATTCTCTGGAATCTGACAGGCAACACCAGGAGCACTTCTGTTATGGCCTCAGATTTACAACCTTTGGGTTTTCAGCCATGTGCCTTAGCACCCAGCCACACCAGCTCCCAAGAATGCAATTAATGGTAAAATTTCCATTGGTTTAGTAGGGCAAAGATATCACCCTGATTCTTAACCTGAGGAATTTCTGGTTTGTGGGACTAACCTGTGTAAAAGAATACTTGGACTTTGCCTAAAATTAAAATCTGTACATATTATTTCACATCTTAAATTAGATTTTGGTATTTGTTTAAACTTTTTGAAGCAAGGTTTGAAAAATCTGACAATGAAAAATAATCCAGGTATGATGATTATACTATAATTACATATTTGTTCCACATCCAAGCATATAAAAATATTTCAAAACAAAACCAGATATACCTAGACTTTGAGTAGTGGATAAACACCAATTCAAAAATCACTTGGGAAAAATATTGACAAGGAGGAAATTAGAAGCCAAAAGTACAAAAGGATACAAAAATAGATTAGATATACAGAAAAAAATGTAATAAATCAGGCTGCCCATTTCTGTATAAAGCACTGCTCTTTTGATCACTCAAACCCTCTCCCTAAATATTCCAGTTCTAACTTCTTATTATTGACATGGTACAATGTAGAATTATGTGAGTATTCATCCTCAGTGACAAAAACTGCATGACTTGTGTACTCACACAGTAGCAAATTCATGAGAGGGCAGCAGATGTCAGCTTTTGAAAAGACATTAGATTCATATAGCTGCACTAAGAAATTAAATAAGAAAAACATTTTTGGAAAGAGGGTGTCTTACTGTTTTTTAACTTTAAGTATTTAGAAGTGTTAGTATAAATCCAAATGATGTGTCAGATTTGTGAACCACTCCTACCCATGGTTTGCAGTTACTTGTATAAGGACTTCCATTTAAAATAATAATAGAATACCTTTTAGAACTTATTACTGCTCTGTGCAAGGGTATCAAATCTGGTGCCACATGAATGAATTTGCTGTCCTGCCTGTGGTTTATCCTGGGAATAGGTATTGTCGATTATCTGTGTCTAGGAAAGGTTTTATTACTTTAACTTTGTGATCTGCTTGTCTAGCTGACTTACTGAGCTGATAGTGTACACAATTAAACTATATATAGGAAGTTGGAACTGCACTGCATATAACTGCATGCAGCTGTACAAAATCAGTTGACTAATTTTTAAAAATATTAAGATTTCTTGAAATTAAATCAAGATGAATAAATCAAAAATTGTTTAAAACTCAGTTGGTGCAATGTTAACCATACCTAACAATTGCACTTCTTTTCATTTGAAGAACAAATGTGCTATATTTTTCACTAAATGTGATGTTCTCTCTCAAGGCGTGTGCAATGGAGATCCTTTTGATGACCTCAAGATGCAAAATAGAACTATAATTACACACATTGAGGAAATTGAAGCATTTATTAGGAGCTGGGAAATTGAGAAATCAGTTGATGTAACGACCAGGAGGCCAGTAAGAAACTGTACTGAAGATAACTGCACTTACTGTATGGAACTGCTAAACAGAAAGGTTTTCATTCCATGTCACAAAAAAGTAAGTACAAAGAAAGAGGCACTTTCAAGTCTGAATTAATTAAATGATTTATAAAGAAAATTATAATTTATAGTTTTATTTTCTTTTACTTCCTCTGTCATATTACTTGCCAAAATAACTCTTCAGATGGTCTCCATCTATGGCTAGCTACAGACAGTCAAAAAGCCCAAGGCAGAATCAGTCTGTTATATGGATTTCTTTAAGCAGTATAGTTTACACCAGTAGTGAAAAGAACACAAATACACCCTGGGAGGGGGGGGGTGTCAAATTTGCCATTTTTAAAACCAGTTTATGTATTTAACTTCTGTTCTGTTATGGGTATAGACCAATTTACGATCACTTATAGGTTAAGTACAGAGTCAAAAAGCCTGAGGCTGAATTGATTCAATCTTTGCAGGGTAGTCTAATCCGCATAGATTGAACTGATAAGAAAGTGAACAGACATTTACTTTTGATTCCAGAAATGCAGCCATGTGCCTGCAGTGACCCAGGCCAGAAGCCAGGGGGTGCTAGAGCACACCTCCATGCTCATCGGGAGCAGACAAATTGGGCCAAGGCTAGCCTGCCCACCCTGTGAGGGTGGGTTTGCAGGGGCGGTGCAAAGCATCATGCGATGCTGGGGGCTGTGAGTTAACTTGAATCTGGAGGGGATCTGGGACAGAAATTCAATAAATGGATTTAACCTAAATCAGTTAAGTCTGATACTACATCCATCCAGGTTTATCTCCAAGTGGTTTCAGCAATTTTGAAAGCAGTTTATGTGCACTGAAGTTCTGTTCTGTTACAGATTTGAGCCACTTTCTGATCACTTACACCAGTTTATGTGTAATTTATATTTCTAGAAATACTGGTAAAAGTGTAATAACTGTACCTGGCCTACAGGAATACCTTGAGTGCAGATCATCATGTTACTTTTTGGCTTCTGAAAATACTGTGCCATCTTGAAAACGAAACCCTCATTAGAGTGACATAACAAAGCATCAGCCTAATGGTGAAATATAAACCAAATCTTTATTGAATGTTTATGAGGTAGCTGGTTAGGAGTGAAGGCCTAGACCTTCTGTTTGTACGCTATTGGATTCTGGTTGGTCAGAGATCTCTGTAGCTTAGGGAAACATCACAGAAGTTAGCTTGGTCACTTCTGTATTTGTGGCATGATAGCTTACTGTCAGAAAAGTTATTTTCAGGAACAGAACTGTAAGGATTGTGTCATTTAGCACATCAGCTGCCACTAGAGGTAGCTGATGTAGCACAGGAAGAGTAGGAATGACTAGAGAGGCAGAGAGATGAGAAAATGAATTTCAAAGAAATTATGGATGTACAATTCTTTCTATTTCAAACCAGGATTAAGAAGGATTGGTACTTTCTCCATTGTCCATTCTCCATTCCGGATTTTATTATTATTTGCTTAATTTTCCTTTTCTATGGTTTACTCTGTTTTCTTCCTTTCTGTTAAACTACTTTGCAGTAGACTGACCCCCTTTAAGCAGACTCTCAGATATCTTTCTTTTAAGCTTGAGACTTATCAAAAGAATAGGTGGGGTTATGAAAAAAAACCAAGAGATACTTTTTGAAGTATCAGCTGAAGAAAGCTGGTGGGAGAGTTATGGAAGGCATTTTGTCACTAAAAAGAAGGAAGTTGGACATTAGTCTTTGCTCATCCACTTTAATGTCTTCAGCTTCTAGTAACTCAGAGATTATTCAAAAGTAGTAAAAAAATACGTCACAGTTGTTGGTTTCTGAACCCTACTGTCTTACGCATCTGGCAGGTTCACTGATACTGCTTCAGGGGAAGTGCTATGTGCCCTGTTTTGGGGCTACCTTAACGTATGATATGCCAAAAACACTTGGTTGAGCCAAGATGTTTATTCTTGTTTTGTGTACATGAAGCTGACATCTGGAGAGGATGAAAAATGGTGCATGTGTGCTTTACATAAAAATGAAGTGGAGAAAAATTCAAAAGGTGAACAAGAGTGGGAAATGAAAACCGCTGATGTAAAGAGCAATATGACAAAAGAGAGTACATCCAGATTTGCAGAAGTCACAATAAGAGAGGGGGAATTGAATAAAAATGGCTGATAGAACACTACTGAATTCTTCATTCTTCCTGGTTGTACAAGCTTAAGCCATAATAAACCAGAAATCGTATTGGTTAGAAAACATTTGAATTTTGATGTAGTACATTTGGAGTCAAGAAAAAAAATCCCATTTAAACATGAGTCTAGCACTACATAATCTGTTCATAGTAGAATAATTTATAGAGGGAATGGAAGCAGAGTTTAACTGCAATCGGAGATTTAAACTGGAAGCATCATATTGCAAAGAACCTTGTCGATAGTACTGCAGTGTCATCAGGGCTGTTTCTATGCCTACTAACGAGCATGTAAAATTGTGGTAGGTGTAATATCATGCAACTAATAATCATAAGCAGAAAAAAGGTATCACTACCTGTCAGTCAGAAATCACAGATTTTTTTCCCTCTTGCACTAGTAATATATCTTGGAATTTATTGTCAACTTCTAATAGAAAAAAGTTGTTCTGCTAGTGAAATATCAATTAAAATGTATTTCTAGGTTTCACCACAGGACTTCTGTGGAAAGATGTGGATTAACAATACTTACTTTTGGAACTATGAATGTGATGCACTTTCTGCTTATGTGGCTTTGTGCAACAAACATAATATCTGTATTAAGTGGAGGACACCAGATTACTGTTGTGAGTTAAAATATTTTACCTTCAAAAGATATTTTATACCATTACAGTATTTCTACATATTATTGTTGTGTATTGTGCTCTTTCAATCACAGCCAGTTTATGTGCAAGTCAAAGTAAGTCAAAGTAGATGGACTAAAATCATGGCAGCTATGGCTTCACTTAAGGATTTTGTCCCATAAATGTTTCAAATGTATAATTTTGTAGTTTATTTCTAAATGCAAATAGTTGTTCTTACTAAAATTTACACCTTTAAAAAAAGAGAATTATTTGTTATATTCTTTTTTCTGTGTTTGTGGGTGGTAGCCTTGAATTGTCCCGATGGCAAGGAATACCAGCCTTGTGTGCAACCCTGTGAAGCCAAAACATGCTTGAATAAATGGTTCCATGAAGAATCTCCTTGCTTCTATTTAAGAGAAGATTGTGTCTGTAAAAATGGGACCATTCTTCATAGAACAGACTCGGATCTCTGTATACCAGAAGAAAAATGTAGTAAGTAAGAAGGAGCAGAGGGATCTGCTCTGTGGATTAATGCAAGTGGTATATCCTCTATGTGCCTGGTTTCCAGAGCCTGGGCTTTGTCATAGCCCCCAGGTATAAAGCTTGTCTTAGTGCAGACTTTGGAATTCATGCTTTCAGCTCTGGTAGGTTCTGGCTCATGAAAGCAGTGATTTATTGGTAAGTGATTTTTTTTTTTAATTCTAAAACTTCTCTTGTCCAGGAGTAAATTTGAATGAATAGAACCAATGGTTTCTCTCCTCTCTTTTTTTTCCCCTCTTCTCTTTGATCCTTTGTCCAAAAAAGCTATAATTTAGGAATGTTTTTGGGCAATCAACTGATCCTAGATTTTGTGATGATGGCCTGAATTGCCTTTTTTTTAAATTTGATAAGGTGATTATAAAGATTTCTCACATACCTAGACATTCCCACAGGAAATCATAACTTTAGAATTTCTTGACTAAAATGTCTATATCAAGCCACCATTCTTTATTGTTTGCTCAAAGCTTTAAATCGGTGCAGAAAATGAATGTCTTCTTGCTTAGTGGTGTTACCTATCAGCAGGTATGATACATTGGTTCTGGCAAAGGTATATAGGTATGGAGAGTTAAGTCCATAGGATCCCTCATTGTTTGGGTCCTGGCTATTTGAGTGATTTCCGAGATAGATTCAAAACCCAAGATGGAGGTGATTTTGGACCACTCACTCAGGGGTTTACATGCTGCACAGAAGGATGTGGCAGAGTACTTGGGCAATAAATAACTAGGTATGGCAGAAAATGCTTCCTCATCCTGATACAACAAGCTAGCAGGGTGATTTCTAATGTAACAATGCTGCAAAAGTAGTGACTGAATGTTTTATTTGCACACACAGACAGAAAGTCTGTGCAGATACTTTAATTTTGGTGTTAAGTCCAGGAAGTAATAATCATTTGAAGGAGAGCAGCTGCACTTTGCAGGAGTTAGTGGGGTGGGTCTGCTAATACACTAAAAAGGGTATCAGATTCCAATATAGTTTAGAAAACAATAGAGTTTTCTGACAGTTAAATATATAAGCTACATTAGTATACTTTATTGTCCTTTTATGCAGTGAAAGTAGCTAGTTGGCACATTATTCAGGATTCTATTACCTGTTTTTCTTTCGTAGCATGTACAGATAATGAAGGACAGCCCCGTTCTGCTGGAGAGTTTTGGAAGGGATCCATTAAAACATGTTGTATGTACAGCTGCTTGGAGAATGGAAGTGTTATTGCTGTAGAACCTGAATGCAGTGAAGACTCACTACCTATTTGTGAGCGAGAGGGTGAAATTACCATTAATGTCATTCAAGAGGGGGCTTGCTGTACAAAGCAAGTTTGTGGTATGTTTACATCTCAACACTTTTGAGAACAGTACGTGGAAGATATTTAAACATTCATTGCATGTACTGACATACAGGCAGGATTTAGAGTTAAATTCTTCAAATTGCCTACTAGACTTGAAGCTGCTTGATTGGGAATTTTTTGACAAAATGGTTTTATATTTGAAAATGTTAATTGGTTGACATTTGAAAGTCTTTCAGATTCAGGATGAAATTTTGAGAGGGACAGACTTCTTCATATAGTCTGGTGTATGGTGCACTCATCAAAACTGTTTTGGACCCAGAGTTACTTAGGACACTGAATTGTAGTGATTTTTCATTAAATTAGGATCCTGAGACTTAAAGTACTCTTGAAAGTGTAGATCATTTTTTTCCTAAACCATGCAGGAAATTCTAGGAGGAGAGGTGCTTAAAAATGAAATGTCTTTGTCTAATCCTAATTAATGCCAGATGCTAATATTTTGTCTGGCTGTCTCTCTTAACAGAAGAAACTTGGTGTTAGCTCTTGTCATGTTAGTCAGGAGATACTATATCTATCTCTTAATAAAGTGGCTAAGTGAAAATAAAGGGCAAATGGTCTATGCGAAATAGTTGGCTACCTGTAACCACTTGCCAATTGTCACAGAAGGAATGTTTCAGTCAGATTAACCAACATTAAAAATATTGTTGTGTGTCTTTTTGAATGAATGAATGTTGTTATTTTTTTCAGAATGCAACATGACTTTATGTGAGGCTCTTATTCCAATCTGCAAAACTAGTGAAAAATTAGTAATAGGCTATAACCCCCTTTCTTGCTGTCCGCAATACCGATGTGGTAAGTTGCATATGGAAATAAGATTAAAAGGATATTTTCCAATCCTGTATTTACCTGTGCTAGATGTTCTTGACGGATGATCAGAACACTGTCAGTAGCACAAGACTAATATTTCTACCTTGTTCCTCAGGGTTTTTGTTGATATTTGTATTTGAGCTGTCTCTCAGTTTTGATTTATGACATGTTTTGGTGGATTAATAGGAAGTGAAAAAGGGGAAGATAAGCAGAATAGCTTTTTTATTTTAGCATTATATCTATGATTTCTCTTTTATGTAGAATGTGATCCTTCAGCATGTCCTAATGCTTCCCGTCCAGACTGCAGAGAAGACCAATTTGTTGTTGAAGCAAAACAGGAAGACCCTTGTTGTTTCCTGTATCTCTGTGGTAAGATGCCCTACTGTGTTATCGTTCTTGTAGGTAGGTGGGATATTATATGGAATTTAGAGGTAAGGGGGTGGTGGTTTCTACTGACATACTTGATAACTGGCTGAGAATTGTCACAGGATCTGATGCAACAGAGTCTTATAGGAGGGGCTAAACAGTTTTAATTTACTACCTTCAGGGATTCTTTTGCAGGTTTGAGGCCTTTATTTGTAAGAGATTTTTTTACTCATTGCTAAAAGGCAAAATGACTGATATAAAAATACAGGGATTGAGCTCATCTTAAAATATGGATGCATTTTATTCACTGAGTTCTGTGAGCTTTGCTTTCAGTCTGCAACTTTCTAGGTAATAATCCACAAGTTTCTTAGTATAAATCTCAACAAGTCAATACAGTTTATGCATATGCTGCATCATTGTATTCATTTACCTATTTTGTTTGAACGTAATAGTAAAAAAAAAGGCCCTGAAATATTCAACTGACATGCCCAGCATAAGAATGTGAATAGTATGAAACTGGTATGTAGCAACTTTCTGATGATACACCTGAAACCTTATATAAGACTTGTTCTTTTTAATTTTAGTTTGTGAATCTTGTGTTGAGCCAGTTCCATTATGTAATGAGGGAGAAATTCTCACAGTAGATCAAAGCACCACTCATTATTGTTGTCCTCACTATCACTGTGGTAAGTAGGACTGTCTTTAATTGAAAGATTTCTCTTTATATAGTAAACATTATTTGCATGTATTATCTTTTTGAGGCGACTCCAACGCTTGTCACCAAAACTTGAGATTCTCTATACATTAAAAGTAGAGCATGATATCATACACCATTTATACAGTATCTTAAGATACTGCTGTCTTATGGTATCCCATTTGTTTTTGTTTAAACTTTGTTTTCTTTATATTGTTAGCTTCTTGAGGCAAGGACTTAAGCAACAATTTTCAAAAATTACTTGAGCTGACGTGATGAACTACAGGTTTCCCTCACTTTATAGATTCATAGCTGCTAGGTTTGGAAGGGACCTCAAAGGATCATTGAGTGCAACCTCCTGCCAATGGCAGGAAAACGTGCTGGGGTCATGTGACCCCAGCCAGGTGCTTGTCCAATCTCCTCTTGAAGACCCCCAAGGTAGGTGAGAGCAACACCTCCCTTGGAAGTCCGTTTCAGATTCCGGCAACCCTAACGCGAAGTTGTTTCTGATGTCCAACGTAAACCTACTCTCCATCAGCTTGTGGTCATTGCTTCTGGTTATTCCAAGGGGTGCTTTGGTAAACAGAGCATCTCTTATTCTCTGCTGCCCAACCTTCCCCTGGTGAATTTGTATATGGCCACAAAATCTCCTTCCTCGGCCTTCTCTTGCAGAGGCTGAAAAGGTCCGGGTCCCTCAGCCTTTCCTCATAAGCCTTTTCCTGCAGGTTTCTAACCATACGAGTAGCCCTCCTTTGGACTGTCTCAAGGTTGTCCACATCCTTCTTGAATTGTAGCACCCAAAATTGGACGCAGTACTCTAGCTGCAGCCTGAGCAGTGTCGCATAGAGGGGGAGCATCACCTCCCTGGACCTGTTCGTGATGCACCTACTAATGCATGACAAAGTATGGTTAGCTCTGCTAATTGCTTCATCACATTGATGACTCGTATTCATCTTGGAGTCAACAACGACTCCAAGATCTCTTTCTGCCCCCATACTGCTGAGAAGGTCATCCCCTAGCCTACAAGTGTGCTGCTGATTTCCTCTCCCTAGGTGCAGCTTGCACTTGTCCTTGTTGAACTGCATCCTATTGTTCTCTGCCTACCTCTCTACCTGTCCAGGTCTGCCTGGATTTGTTTTCTTCCTATCAGTGTGTTTGCTTCGCCCCATAGTTTGGTGTCATCTCCGAACGTGAACAGAGTGCTTTCCACACCCTCATCCAGCTCACTGATGAAGATATTGAACAGCACTGGCCCAAGGACCGAGCTTTGGGGGACCCCATCTTTCAAGGTTGATACCGACCCATCCACCACCACCACTCTCTGGGTAGAACCCTTAAGCAAATTTGCCACCCACATGATTGTGTAATCATCTATGGCACAGCCATTCAATTTGCTTATAAGAATAGGATGAGGAAATGTGTCGAAGGCCTTCTTCTTAAAGTCCAAGTAGATGACATCTACCTCGATACCTGCATCTAAGCTTTTAGTGACCTGGTCATAGAAAGAAACAAGGTTAGCCAGGCAGGATCTACCTGAAATGAACCCATGCTGGTTGCTCTTCAGCATTATATTACCTGCTGGACCCCTACAAATGTGTGATCCTTGTTAATTTTTTCAAGGGTTTTCCCAAGATTAGAAGTGTGAGACTAACAGGTCTATCGTTACCTGAATCTTCCTTCCTCTCCTTCTTGAAAATAGGAACCACATTGGCCCTTTTCCAGTCCTCAGGGACCTCACCTGAGCACCACAAGTGCTCAAACAGTTGTGCCAGTGGCTCTGCTATGACACGGGCTAATTCTTTCAGCACCATTGGGTGGAGCTCATCCAGTCCCACTGATTTAAACACTTTATGTGTCTTCTGTATGTGCAAATTCACTCTTATGCAACGACCCTTTTTATACCAAAACATCATTATAAGCTAGGTAAATTCACTCTTATGTGATCAGTGTGGTGGAAGCCTGCAGTCAGCTGCTTTTTGTGGTGCACCGTGGGAGTGACGTGCACCAAAATATAGTCTCCTTTGTGGATCTGTGCTCCTCACTTGTTGTCTGCGACATATGTTTCTGTAGTTGCCATCCCTATTATGACTTCTGAGTGTCCCACTAGCTTATCTCCTACCCCTCCCCTCCCCTGCTTGGACCTCCTGCCAGTGATGTGGAGTCTGACACCAAAGACCCTTCACTACCTTCTCTTCACACCAACTAAACATTCACCACCACTCTGTGCTTGTGTGTACTCTCTGCTGTTGGTGAGTACCAAAACTGTTTTGTAAAAGTGGTAGAAATGGGTCTGGTGGTCAGTACAGTCAAGGTTTTGAAACGTATCCCTATTTGTTATGCTGTAAAGTGGGTTTCCTTTATGCAAATTTGAGTTATGCGCCATTTTCTAGGAATGCACGTACAGCATAAAGTGAGTGAAACCTGTATAGTATATTTCCTCTTTAATATCTAATTTACTAATATCTAATATTTAATTTACTTCTTATTTACTTATTATAGGAGTACTCCATTATTATATCTCTCTTCCTAAAGTGGACACAATTTTGGTTTTGTTCATCTAAGTAACCATAGCCCACTGTTGTATTCAATGTAGTCAATCTGAGTGCCATATTTTCTTTCTTTAGTGGGACTGGAATGGTGTTATACCCATGATGCTCTAGAAAATTACTGAGGCAAGGGTTTTTGTGGTATCTTTTATTGGACCAACTGTCTATTTGGGAGAGAAGTTGGATCATTTTAATGGTCTTGTTCTTCTACATAATTAGGTTATCCACTCAACTGCATTTCCTTTCTTTTGCAGCTACTGGTTGTCACTTCTCTTTGCTGCTGCTCTAGAATCAACTTACATTCCTTAAGCTACTGCTTTAATTTACATGGAGTTCAATTTCAAGACATTGTTTCTTTTTCGCTGTTACTTAGCTTAGCATGTATTTGCTGCTTTTTCATACTTAAGGAAGGGCAGTTTGTATATAAAAACTTCTCCAAAAATCTCACCCAACTATATGGTTGGTCCAGTAAAAGGTATACAAAAACAAACCCCTTGCCTCATGCTTTCTTTTGTCCATTCTTCAGAAATTGTCCGGTACAGGGATGCTCTTACCCTGCCCTGGCCCCCTGTAGCAGCCAGGGGGAGCTCCAGGGTGCTAGCCTGGGGCTGGTGCCCATGCACATGGGGCCAGAAGAGCTCCTTGCCCCGTGCACACTGCGAAGGGTCCTGATGTGCAGGGAACCAGGAGACAGCTGCCCCTGCAGAGCTTTCCTGGCCCCCTGCACATGGGGACAAGCCCTGGGGCCAGCAGCTGGGAACTGTCCCACTTTTGGGGCTGTGCAGGGATTTTCATGAGCAACCTGGGCTGGCCAGGACCTGTCCTGCTTCTGGGGCAGCTCTGGGCTGTGTGGGAAAATTCCAAAGCAGCCTGGGGCTAGCTGGGAACTAACCTGCTTCTGGCACAGCTCCCAGCTAGGTTGGGGAAATCCCTACACAGCCCAGAGGTGGCTGGGAGCTGCCTCAGAAGCGGTACAGTTTCCAGCCAGCCCCAGGCTGCTCAGAGTAATCCCCACACAGCCTGGAGCTGGCTTGGAGCTGCCCCAGAAATGGGATAGCTCCAGGCCAGCTCCTGAATGTGCAGGAAGCAGAGCTCTTGAGTCCTAGCATTGCTTAGCTCCCAGCTTCTGTGGGGAGCCAGCAGCTAAGTAGCTAGGATCGAGGAGTGGGGGAGTGGGGGGCGCAGAGAGCTACCCCATCTGGTTGCTGCTCAGCTCCTGAAAATTTGCTCTTGGTCAGTCTACACTTGTGCTACTTCATAGTATCTACTGTACAATTAGTTTACTATCTGTATTTACAAGTAGTAGACTAACTTACTGCACAATAAATGGTATGCATGTGTAGACAGTGATTCTTTTATTGCACAGTTGATTAGTCTACTATGCAGTAAAGTACCTCATGTAGATACACCATCTGAATCCTAGACCTACCCTCCAGTATATCTACTACTTCCTGCAGCTTGTTGTCATCTGCAAACTTGCTGAGTGTGCACTTTATCCCATCTTTGGGATCTCACATTGATGAAAGTGAGCTGATGCCTCAAGTGGTAATATCAAAATTATGAGAGAAATTCAGCATAGTTAGAAAAACTAAGTTAAGGAAATATGAGCTGAAAAAAAAAATCTTGATCCATGTCATTTCTCTCTCTTTAGTTTGTGATGAGAACCTTTGTTCAATGCCTCTTCTGAATTGCACAGATGACATGAAACTTGTGAAAGAAAATATACCTGGGCAGTGTTGTCCTGAGTGGCACTGTGGTAATTAATTTCTGTTCTTCTACTGGTTCATTTATTATTACAAATTAAGACCTTTTGACTGATAGTTGTTGCTCTCTTCTCAGAATGTAGCTGCGAAAACATTACCAAACCAACTTGTAAATTGGTAAGAGATTTTTCTTTTGATACCATTTAGTAAGAATGTTCAGCATTTTATTCCTTTCTTTCTTTTTATCTACTGTTGTTTTTCCATCTCTTTCTGAGGTTCATGATCATAGGCCATGGGATTGGAGCACTGGTAACCCCAATGTATATTTGTATAATGTATATTTGGCCAGCAAACAGACTGCAAAATAGGGAAGACTGTTATCTTTCTCCAGACAAAAAACATTATCTTCTGGGATTTCTATAGTTTCTCTATACTGCAACCAATAATCCATTGACAAAATTTGGTTTTGTGCTTTTAAGAAGATGAGGAAAGAAAATATATACCATATTTTCTCACATACAACGTGTCCTGGAATGAAATATGCATGCACCTTGTTTTTGAAAGGCAAATCTTTCTTTGTAGTACGTAGCTGAGTAGCAACAGCTAGGAAGCTGAGCCTGCTCATTGTTCTGCTCACTGTAGATCATGCAAAGACTTTGTGCTCCTTATGCTTCTACCAGGTGAAAGCAAAAGCAAATTGCTTTTATTGTATTTCATCATTTATAATGTGCATTCCAAATTCCAGCAGCTGGTTTTTGTCAAAAAGGTGTATGAAATGCAGCCTTGTATGGAAAGTATGGTATGCATTTTTGTTTAGTATTGTCTAGAAATAATAAGCCTAAAATTTTACCTCTTAAAAGTTCCATTCCAGTAATAGGGGTCAAAATGTATTAATATATTAATGGAATAATATTGACTTGTTTTATAAAAAATCACACACTTCCTATTAGAGATACTTAATATCTTAGACCTTTGTAACTATGAAAATTTACATTTACTGTCCTCTGTTCTATCTGTAGAAATTAGTCACATTATGACATGGAATATGACCAATAATAAATGTTTTATCTCCTACTGTCTATTATGAAAGGTGTGTTTTCCTCACCAAATGCTCACCAAATTCTCCCATATGAGGAGTGTTTAATATTGATATAATGCAAGGAATATAGTAAATATAGATCAAATTCTGAATCAACTGCAAGGAGTGTAAGTTAGTACAAGAATTTTGACCAATTTATGGAAGCCATGGAAGAAATTTTAGAGCTGTGAGTGGTATTTTCTAGCTATATTTAAGTGTGACAAGTGGGCATCCCGGAGCCTGTCTGATTGTTGGCCTGCCCACTTGTTTCAGGGCAAACTGCCCACCTACCTCGCCTGTCATACCTTGGATGAAACAATTGAAAGTTGATAACAAGGCAGGAGGCTGCCCATGTACTTGCCCTGATAGCAAGGGTCTATACATGGCTCTGAACCTTCTCTTATACTGTATCCTGTGCCTCATAGATGGCATTCATAGCCTAACACATGGCCTAAGCTTATCTGACCTAACACCCAGCTTATAGCATACCCCACACTGGGGTGTCCATCCAGTGGCCCCACACTGGGACCCATACTCCCATGGCCTCACACTGCGACCCTTACTCCAGTGCCTCATATTGGGGCTGTCACTCCTGTGCCCTCACACTGAAGCTCACAATTCCTATGCCATCACATCAGGAGTCTTGATCCCTGTGCACTCACACTGGGCTCACAATCACACCCACTTGAGGGTCCCAGACCCTCCCTTTTCCTTGGGCTCCCTGCCTGGCTTGGGACCCTCTTGGTCCCCACATGCCCCCACACTGGGGCTTCAATCCCCTTGCCTGACACTGGGCCTCATCCCACCCCCCTGGAGCCTCACACCCAACTCCCTTAGTATGCCTCAGGCCTTACTGTGGACCTGGGCTGTCTCTGGCTCATTCACCTGACCAGGACCCTGCCTCAGGCTCCACACAGTAAACCCGGGCCCTTTGCTTTGTCTTCAGGGTGTGCTCCCCTGGCCTTTCCCCTCCATGGAGTACCCACAAGGCAGCAGGTCTGAGACTTTCTGGGGAGGCACAGGTGTGGCATTTCCTGAAAACTGCTTCTCCACTGGTAGTCCCACCACATGATCCAGCCCCAGCAGGGTATAGTTTTAGGTCATGTCCATAGTTCCTGCCCTGTACCTCCAAGATGTTCTGAACAGCAGCTCCAGCCAGGTGATGCTTTCTATCCAGCTGCTTGCAGCAAACTGCTGGCTCTACTGCTCAGAGCCCTGTTCCTACACTAAACAGCTGGGTCCTGTTCCCAATCAAGCAATTGTGCCTGATTGGGAGTGCAGCCACCTGCAAGCCCCTTTCAGTAACAGAGCATGAGTTGTGCTTTGGTATAGTAAGTTTATTACTGAAATAACCAGGATTTGTTACTCAAAAATGTTTCTAAAACAAAGGAAACCACTTCAAAACACTAGTAAAACTGCTGTTAGGCTACTCTAATGTTATGTTCAGACAAAAAGAAAATGAACTACTTTGCTATTGTAGAGGTACTATGTTCATCTGATATTTTTGTGCCTGCTGTTTGTTGTAGTATATTATGAATTCTTTTTTCCCTCCAACAGCAAAGGGTGGGAGTGGTGGGAGTATTGTTTGTTATTTGAAGAGTAGAATGTCTTTTGTTAGTGTTGAAGGTTAGTTTAAGGTAAACTTGTTTATTCTTTTTTTTATACACACAGGGAGAACTTCCAAACATAGATAGTAATATTTATACGACTTGTGGATGCATGCACTACACCTGTGGTAAATTTTTCTTATTAATTTTTGTTTGCAAAAATGACCTATGCTGGTCTTCTCAAATGTAAACATTATATTAAAATGACTTGATATCTGTCTGCTTTATAATGGCTCTAAGTAAATACTAATTATAAAAGTTTAATTGGCAAAATGGCTATATTTTATGCTTGAAGACTAAATTTATGTCAATAAATTTTTATTAGGACAATACTAAAATTAGAGAACAGTAGTGAATATGAAGATTAACTTCATTCCCATTCTAGGAATCTGATTATGGGCTTGTGCATTTTATAGTTTCACGTGGTTCTTTTAAGTGGTTTTGCTGGGAATTATCTTTTCCACCAAATAATAGGGAACTCTCCCTTTTCAGTTTGAAAATTTAAATCACAAACCAAAGAGTATAAAAACTAAGTAAACCCCTTTGTGTATGCACTGATACTGAGATACCAGATTCAAACATGACACTGGTGAGCGGTAAAAATCCCAATTTCCCTGATTGGTTGGGGGCATATTTGGTTTGTATCTCAGGAAGAAACCTTGTACCTGGAGACAGTTCGTGGGGATTGATAAAACCCTGCCTATGAAATGTTCCTCCCCCATCTAATTGGGTTAGGAAAATGTTAGCTGGAGCAGAGAAAAAAATACAAGCCCCAAAATACTGAAGCTGAGGCCCTCTATCCTTCTCAAGTTCAGTGCATCCCATTCATAAATCAAG